ATGTTCGCGGAATCGAGTCATTGCTCAAGCCCTGGCCCTGGTCGACCAAGTTCCCACACTCGGGCTGCCAGCAGAAGAGACGACGAACGCCATATCTTTTTGGGACCTCGAACACGTCACAGCCACGGCCACGACCACTCGAGCGAGCATAGCTCCACGAGGATTGAGACCCCCAGACCTGACCATCAATCTACTTCCACGCAATTTCCCAGTCCTAGCTCTCATGATCGGGCGAGACTGAGACTACAATCTCCCTTATGGACAGGTGGTGGAGATTCACAAGAAAAAATAGATCTGTACTGCCCTCCACACGGGTGGCTCAGAATCCCGAAAGGCTACGTGAAGAGATCAGACTTCTCTAATAGCCGGCCGCCACGCGAAACCGAGCACCTTCAACCGGCTTGGACCAATCGCTACCCCGGTGGGTGGGGGGTGATGGGCAAGGGCATCTTGAATCACCTCGCGTTCCGCAATGGATGGACGCATCGTTGGTAGATTCTGTGGTAGAAGAGAGACAATTTTGGAGGTTCTTTAATCGATGATGCTTTGTGTCTGATATGTAGATTCTAGCATAGAAACAATTAAGTTTATGTCTAGCTTTTTGAGATGTGGTGCAGGTATCCCGTACTAGATATTTTCTAGGGGATGCCATTTATACGTGCTAATTTATGCCAAATGCCTTCTCTTTATGGTACGAGATGTTTCTGGATTTGACCGTTCCGGCCATTCCATTGTTCTGTGCCTCCTTGCGAAACAGACTAGGTCGTGCCACTGGGGACAGAACGGAGCAAAAAAGTCACTTGGGAGTAAACAAAGAGCTCGGACCACCCCAAGTTATGCCAATTCGACAAACCTGACCAACCTTTTAAATGAGTTCCTCCCATTTTTAATGATCCTCAAAATCATGCGATAACGTCGATCGCGCCCCCATCGCACCTTTCAGAGCGCGTCGCAGCAGTTAAACAGAAGGTGTCGACAAGTAAAATAATTCAGGATCCCTCGACCAGGCGCTCCAGGCAGGCGGGAACCCTTGCTCTTTCGTTCCCCGGGTTTCACAAGTCGTGCTGCGCTAGCCGGTTCGGGAGGTCTGAGACGGCTCGCCTTCGCGAAGCGCCACCAAGCGAGGAAACCCCACCACTGTTTTGCCAACCCTGCCCCGCGTGCCTGCCCTGTCTGCGTCTCGACCTTGAGGGTTTCCATCCAATCTTTCACAACGTGCAGTGAAGGCGACAGATCATCGTGATTGACAAGATTCCCAAGGGATCCCCAGATCGCCAATGGCGGAGTACTTGCTTGAAGATACTTTCATTTTGAAGCGTTTACCTACCTGAACTCTGGGTCATGGTTTGCCGCGCATTGCTTTTTCTTGTTCTCTCTTTTGTCGCAACGCCAACGTTGCCCCCACTGCAACGCCGTTTGCGAAAACCCGGGCAGGAGCTGTCGAGAGCTAAACCCCAGCGCGATGGAACGCTAAGAATTTCGGCCAGGCCCCGATCCGGCCCAGTCCCCTCAAGGAGGCTCCCCTTAATCAGCAGAGGAGACGACGTCTCGTTTCCAGGCCTCGTCCCATACCGGTCATGCATGCGGATTTGATGCAGCGTTGAAGTGCAGGATGTGGCAGATCGATCGACAATCGCGCCTCGCGCAGGGCAGCTACGCCACCAACTCGATCCTTGAGACCATTGCCATGCATGGCTCACAGAACAAAGCATTGACCGTCCGAAATGGCCTTCCTCCCAATTCCAGGGGCCGTCCAAGCACCAATCGCGTTTCCTCCGGACTAGGCGTGGTGGGCATGGCCCCGACAGCGCAGGCCGTTGCCCCTTTGCTGGGATGATGGCGTATCATCGCCCTGTCAGGCTCCTCGTCAAGCACCAGACCGCTGTTCGCTGGCTGCGAACTCCTTCAGGGGGTGATGGGACGGTTTCTCGCGCCCTGGTCGGTGTACCTGGCGCCCATCGTCTGATCTTGTTCAACCCCGGTCGTGGGGTCAATATTTGAGACGACCCGCATCTCCTGCCACCGCCCATGGCCGGGGACAGTGACAGCGATGGGGATGATATATAACGACCCAAATCATCCTCCTCATCGCTCGGTTTCTTTTGTTTGGCATCTGCTCTTCAGTCGTCGATTCATTCCTCTTTTTTGGTCCTTCTTTTCAAACAGGTTCTGCGAACCGTTCCATTCTTTCACTCATCCCATCAGTTGAGCTTCTTTTTGCAAACTTTGGGCCGGTCCTTTTACCACATTCGATTCGATTCTGTATATCTTACAACCCGTGTCATCCACATTACCAGACGACAATGAAGTACCAAGTTTCTTCCCTGTTCTTGGCGTTTGCCCTGGCCTCCGCCGGCCCCCTCCCAAACCGCGCGATCCAGGCCCGCGAGGTTCCCCAGGAACACTCCCACGAGTTCATCCTGAAGCTGGTTCAGAATTCCTTGGTCCTCAACAACCCCAAGAAGATCCAAGACTCCGTCTTTGGCCTGCTCGGCAGTGCCGCTGCCAAAGCTGGCGCCGGGCTTGTGACCAACCCCGACTGCCTGCAGCAGGAGACGGCCGACCAGGCCTTCACCAACGCCAAGGCAGCCGGTGATATCCCCGGCATGGCGGGCGCACTCATGTACCGTTCTATCGAAAGAAACACGGGCAAGGTTGGCTTGGCCAGCGTCATCTGCCCCGACAAGGCAGTCAACCCCGAGATCGCCGCCCTCACCCAACACCAGGATCCCGCATCTGCCAACGCCGCTTCCATCAACAAGGGCATCGTCCTCGAGCTCGCCAAGCAGCTCGCAGCTGTGGGTGCCGACCCCCTCCTCGCTCTCGAGACAGGCACCTTTGCCCCTGGAAGTACCAGCGACAACACCGGCGCCGGCAACACCTGCGACACCTTGAACGACGATCCCGGCTGCATCTTCTCCAAGAACCTCCTCGTCCTTGATGCCACTCCCGCAGAGATCGCCGCGGCGGTCGTTGGTATCACCCCGACCATCACCGGGACAGGCGTCCTGAGCGCAACCCATCTCGCCGCCCTCGTCGCCGTTGACACTGCAGCCACCTCGGCCGCTGCTGTCACCACCGCGGCCGACGCCACCGCCACCGCCACCGCCTCAGACTGCATTCCCGAGGTCGTCACCGTGACCGAAACCGCCGCAGAGTCGGACTGCACCCCCAATGTCGTGACCGTCACCGAGAAGGCCGCCCCAGCCGCCGCGGCAACCACGTCCTGCTCGCTGATCACCACCACCCTCGCCGTCAACACGGCAACCACGCTCGTGACCGCCGCCACCCCCGTGCAGACAGCCGCCGCCGCCGGTGCCGCCGCGGCCAACATCCAGAAGTTCACCGGCACACTCGGCGGCGCGCCCCCACCAATCGCCTCGGACGGCGCCAGCTCGCGCCCCTTCACCGTCAAGGGCAACACCTTCGTCAACATCGGCGCCGCCATCCAGCGCAGCTGCGACGTGCAGCACAACGCGTGCGCCAACGCCGCCAACACCGGCGCCCTAGCCGGCGGCCAGGCCCAGTGCGAGACCCAGCAGACCGCCTGCGTAGCCGCCAACACCGCCGCCGCCGCAAAGGCCAAGCGCGCCGGCGCCCTGGGCAAGTGCAGCAACCCGACCATCGTGTTCAAGGCCGGGCTCGACGGCCGCACCACCAACGCCTTCATCGCCGCCAACCAGGCTGACTTTAACCACGGCAGCGCGCTCAACATCGCCGTCATCGCCGGCTTCATCTGCCAGCGCCTCGGGTCGTCGTGCAACGCCGACGCGACCGCGCAGGCCGCCTGCGCCAAGGCCTCGGCGGCCGCCGTCGCAACCACCCAGAACCAGGCCGCCGCGGATGCGTTTAACAGCATCATTGGCGCAGCGGGAGGCGCTGCGGCGGCGGCTGCGGCCACCACCACGGCGGCGCCGGCGGCTGTGCAGACTGCTGCTGCTGCGGCGGCGTCGGTTGTCATGACGCTTACGCAGTGCACGTAAGGCGCGAATTGTTTGCGGGGTGTTGTTTTTCTTTCTTGGTTGAGGCCCTTTGGATGGTTGTGTAATTAACGTTACCTGAGATAGCAAGGTTGTGAGATGAATACACAGTGTTTGTCATTTTTGCAGACCCTGAGTACTGTACTGGTTAGTAACCCAAATGTTATTTGGCTAGGGGCAAACACACCTTGCGCGAGCCAAGGAATAATTAAGCTGTTCCCCCAACCAAAAATATGGATGTGGGCTTCGAAGCAGCCACCTTACTACGCCCAAGCCAGGCATGCAATAGGCCACCATGTTTCCCTGTTTGTATACCTAATTAAAGCTATTGCCAATCCACCTCTGCAATTGGAAGCAATTGCGCGTGTGCAACTGTACGTGTGCGACTTGCGCGTCTGCAATTGAAGCCATCGCTCACTTTGGGCGGTGACGACAATGCCGGTGGGGAAAAAGGTGCGCTCCTCAGGTAACAAGTCCTGGCGTGTGCAATTGTGGCTTTGCACCCATTTTTGGCTGTAAGCGAAGCACTCTGAATGGCTCGCGCAAGGTATGTGTGCCCATGCAAGTCAAAAAGGTAGCCAAATTACATTTCGTGGGTAGCCAAATAACCTTTTCGCTCTGCGGGTTAGTAATGTTTGGGATTGCATTGCTGTCCATAAACACGTGCGCGTCGCTAGCGTACGGCATTGTTCCGTGACACATTTCTTCCTGTCGCCCAGGTTAGGTACCTTGTAAATTCCCGGCGAAGCGTGAAAACAGGCGAGAGAGGCGGTTGGAAGCATTTGCTGTCCATGAACATTTGCGTGTCGCTAGCCCATTCCGTGACATATTTTCTTCCAGTTGCGCACTGCATATTCCGGCGAAGCGCGAAAACAGGTGAGAGGGGCGGTTGAAAGCAAACAGGCATGAAAGAAAACGTGAAGGAAACGAGAAGGACCGAAAACCTGGGTGGGTAATGATGAAAAGCAAAGTGACAAGTGCAAAAGAAAAAAGTGCAAAAAAATGAACGGGCCCTGTTGTTGGCGGCGCTTGGACTTGAACCAGGACCTTGTCGTCAGTGGGGGGTACATCTCTGCTGGATCAGGGCATCTGATGTCCGGCCACTGTCACGGCATGTACTGACCACTATACTACACCGCCAACTTATTATGCTAACCTGGGACGGAAAACTCATTGATAAACCCCTTGGGCCAGACTCTCTGTACACTCTGCCCCGAGGGTACCAGATATGCGCCACCCTACGCGGCACACGTCCCGTCAGACCGGATGTCTCTGGAATCCAGCCACCGCCTGGAGCTCGTTCCGTCCAAGTCTTACACCATGGCAACTCCCCGTGGAGTTTTCTGCCTGCGCAAAAAGACCATCGAAGCAGGCAGCATAATAACCTGTTTGATTTATCTTGCGCCCGCCGCATTGCCCGTATTTCTCGCTTGCACCATCCCGCACACGCGCACTGCAAATTCTATAATTATAATAATTAGTGCAGAAAAAGCAGCGGCAATCTCCTGTGGCTACCTGCTAATTATTCAGTTATCTGAATCTCATCCAGGCGCATGTATGTGCATCCGCATCTTACCGCACGCGTACCCGCTTGCATTTCCCGACTCGTTCGGATTATTCGCATGCGAATCACGACGATGATGCCCTCCCCAAGTCTCGGCTTGCAACCCCCGCGGACACTCTCACGCGACGGCTGGCCCTGCGTTGGACTCCCAATGGCAACATCGTTTCGCAAGCCTTTGCCTCACCGTGTTTCCCGCTGCTATGTACTGCTGAAAGGATAAAACAAGCAGGTCGATACCTGGTACCTTAGGTACCTTACCAGCTCAACCTTGCCGAAGAGACATTTTCCGACATTGATTTTTATACTGTTCTCGTCACATGTATCGCTCAGTGGACTGCAATGGCCCTCCTCTATCATTATGACGGTCTCACTCTCTTTACTTGACCTATATGGGTCCGAGGTGCTTTGTTGTCAGCAGCCGGGGACAAAAGAGGGAAAAGAGAAAGGCAAACTATAAACTAGGTTAGTAGCCAGGGCATTCATGTCCAAACAAGACATGGTGCAGACGGACGCCACTTGATTACGCTTTCATGTTTTAAGTCTAAGCACGGCATGTTTACCAGGTGTCTAGCGCTTCCGTGCACAAGATGATGGGCTTCCATGTCTTCCCACACTAATTAGCTATGTATGTAGCAGGTTGCTGGCAAGCACAACTACCACTGGTCAGATGATTACATGTACTGAAAATTACCTGGTATATTCGGTATCCTCCACGCTATATCAGTCTGGCTGTCTCCTTGCCGTGACTCTTGCGCCGCACATCAGTGACCACCTGTCCACCATCTTTTCAGGCTCTAGAATCCAGGCACTCACTCAGCCACCGAGCTCTTCCTGTTGAGTTCTTCATGACCACGACAGGTAGCCAAGGCGGATTCCTGCTGCAAATTCCGACTCGGGTCGCCATTGAGGGCCAACAGAATGACTCAATGATTCACGTCTCTTGCCGCACACACACGCACCCAGACAGATCCACGCAAAACGCTATCCCTTCCTAACAACAGTTTACTGAATCATCACTCCCACTGTCTCATCAAACGCCTCTTCAACTGCCACCGTCAGCTGTTCCTGCATGACCTTGTCGATGGTCTCCCGAATCCAGCCCTCGTTATTGATCGACGGCTTCACGACTGTCCCTTTGAGACGCTGAATGGCCGGGCCCACCAACACCGCCATTCTGCGCTCCAAGTCGGGCTTTTTACGACCGATGATCTCCCGTACCATATCCGCAAACATATCACCGGGCTGGGGCCGTTGAGCGTCGCGTTCTACTCCTACATCGACAAGCGGCTCGATTGCGGGTGTGGCTTTCGGTGTTATGATGGGCTCGGGAGTGTCATAAACTTGCACTTTGACGATCTCGGGATCGGGGGCTTGAGACTCAGTCGGCTCATCCTTGGTCACTGGGTGGTCCATGGCATTCTCCGCCTCAGCTGGAATAGGGTCATTGTTTGGTTGATCATGGGCGACTGGAGGACTGGCTTGCGGCTCAGCCGGCTCATCCTTGGGCACCGGATAGTCCATGGCATTCTCCGCCTCAGCTGGAATAGGGTCATCGTTGGGTTGATCATGGGCGACAGGAGGACTGGCTCGCGACGGAGAACCGCCGAGGGCGACTTGGTGGTCGGGCACGGCCGCGACAGTTGCGATAGTATCTTCATTCGCTTCCTCCTCCTTGGCAATGGCCGCCGCGGCGGTTGAACCAACGCGGGCGTCTGTGACCGGCTCACCCTTGGGCACTGAATGGTCTAAGGCATTCTCCGGCTCGGCTGGAATCGGGTCATCGTTGGGTTGATTATTAGCGACCGGAGGATTGGCTCGCGATGGGAAACCGCTAAGGGCAACTTGGTGGTTGCGTATGGCTGCGATATTTGCGAGAGTATTCTTATTCGCTTCCTCCTTTTTGGGGATGGCCGCCGCGGTGGTTGAACCAATGCGGGCGTGGGTGGCCGGTCCACCAGGAGGCGGGTGCCTTGCAGCGTAGGCAAGAAACACTCGCTCAAGACCGCTGAGCACAAAAGTGCAAGTAGATCGATCAACCTCTGACAGTTTCGGACCATCGACGCGGGACGAACGGCCCGTATTATGAGTCCTGCTGCAATGATCGGCGACCTTCGTCTGCTCTTTCACCAAACCCGTCTGGCGTGGAATCCAGTGGAGCGCAAGCTCGACATCAAAACCGGGAATGTTGTTAAGCGCATGGGACTTGGCGATGATGACCACGACAACGTTCTTGACGAGGTGACCATCTCGACCGAAGGAATGCTTGCTCGTTCTCTTGGACTGTTTAGCATCCGGGTTGCCCGCATCATCCACACGCCCAACCATCGTGAATGAGTGGGAGAAGATTGTGACGCTGACTTGATTGTTGAATGGAGCTCCTGAATCGTTGAAGTTGGCGAGAGGCGGAGGCCTGGCTCGCAGATCGTCTCGGACGAAATCAATTGCCTGAGTATACTAACACCATGGGCGAGGTCATGGTTGATAACGGGTTCGATGTACCGCCCAATAACCACCTCCTCACCGGTGCCGTTCCAGCCCGGTTTCAGACTGGGCCGGTGAAAAAGATGACCGATGGCACCTCCGGCATGGATGACGTGGGCGTCACGAATTCGCGGTGTCGAGATGTCTGTGAAGCCCACGTAATGGAGATGGCGAGCGGTGGACTTCCGAGCTGCAGCATCGTTGGCGGCAATGATTTCCTCCGAGTGGTCGACCGAGTTATCATTGCGGCGATTGATGACACGCCCACAGAAGCGAGAAGGGTCTTTCAGTTCAGGGCCTTTAAATGGACGAGTCGGGCACGGTCAGCAGGCAAGGTCATGGTCAGTTCCAATCATGCTTGATGATGGCGAATCGCATCAACGATCATGGTGAGCACGACGAAAATATCTGACGGGACTTACCGCTCGTCTTCACAGCCTTTCGCGGTCCGCGGCTGGGAGGAGCCGGAGATCGGGGTCTCTTCAATTTATACGCGCCGAGCATAATATTGGCCATCTCAATCAGCTATGAGGGTCGATTTGGGCAACGATAGTCCAATGGTGCAGGGGAGGGGAACCGTTGACCGAGTCGAGTCGAGAGCTCATCCGATCGGAGGTCGGTGTCAGGTTGACGAAAGTTGGAAAGAGGGCGGAAAGCAAAACCGGTGGATAAAAGTCCCAGCAGACCGACCGACATCACACGCGCGCTAAATTCGGTTTTGGCCAATCAGAATTCACCCCGGTGTGAACCTGACCGGGGTTTTTTCGGTTTTTTTTTTCGATCGACTTTTAGAGGAATCAGGAAAGAGCCATGCTGGGCCGTTCCTTCCATTTTGAAAAGAATGATCGTGGAACGCACGGTTGCTGTCTCATCCAATCAACAGAACATGGCAGTCTGGTTCATGGCTCATGCGTCTTGCATTTCCGGGTCGATTCTTTAGGGTTTTCCATTGCTCAAATAACGGAGCACGGCCTCTATCAATGCGGCGACCCTGCGCTTTCCGGGGCGACATGTAGGATTTCGTGAAGTTCCCAACAGTACACAATCGCTACCTGTAAACCAGAAAATTTGCACAACCAAGAATAATGTGATCCTTGTTGAAGCCGTTCCCCATGTTCTTGCACGGTGGGGGAGCCGTCACTCCAGAATCCATCCAGTCGGAGCACCCGGGCAGCGTGTGCAATCACTACCACGGCGCCGACGCAAAATACCAGGTAATATGCAACCGGTTGCTATTCTATGAACAGAGCAAAGATTTAGTCGCTGCTATTAGAGCTGTCGATGAGGTACTTAGGGACAATAGCGGCGCAGCAAGCTGGGGGCGATGCAAAGATCACCTGCCTGACTTGCAATTATCGAGCCGGTTAAAAGTGAGTGTGAAGCAAACAGACAAAGGAACGGAGGGCCTTCTGAGAATCACATTGTGGGGACATAGATCCAAAAAAATCGACACCTTAGCTTATCGTTGCGTAATTTTTTCATTGGCCGAGCCCACGTTGGGAGCTTCTGGTGGTTGGTGTTGTGTTTTCGCTTTTCGTCCGATATCCCCCACCGCACAATAGGAACACCCGACGGTGACCGCGAAAAAAGCCGCCCAGCACGATCACGCAAATCTGGGCCCACCTCCAACCCCGCCATCCGCTCGATTATTTCAAGGTATCGAGTCTCCCATCCTTTCTCGACTTCTCCTTCAACTTCACAACAACTTTACGTCTGCCAGCCATCCATATCCATCATGGACGCCGCCAAGCAAATGGAGATGGACAAGTTCCTGTCCGTCTGCCGCCTCTACCACGAGCTATCCAAGTGCGTAGAGGCCGGCGTCGACGGCGACATTCTCCGCAAAGTCTTTGAAGAAGGTGAGTTTCCCTGCCTGCTTTATTTCGAGACCATTGAGGCGCACCTTGCTCACCTCAAAACACAGCTATATCGGAGAAGAAAGGCGGTAACACTCCCAGCAACATCGCCCCAGCCTTCAAAAATCCTCCTCCAATCCAAATCTCAGTGATGGGACCGCCGCCGACGCTGGGATCGCCCATGCCTTCGTCCCGGTCCCAAACGGTCGATTTTGGTCGGCCGGGTGAACGCGACGCGT